AGACCCACTTTCGGACACGGTGACTCCGTCGTTCAAGTTGGCTTCTCGTATTTCCAGAATCCCACGTGCTGCAGACCATAAATCTTTTTATTGCTTGTAATTCAAATACATTTATGCAATGTAACTCAGTAGTTTTAGGTAATTGTTACATCGTTACGCAAAGAATAAGAGACTTTTAATGGAGTAGTGCAGTGACACAGTTCACAGAATTCGCTATAAATCTTTAAGCTCCTGACTTGCATGAGTTACACCAATTTTGGGGTCACACAGCAATTCGAATCTAATAAGCACTTTACAAGATAACGAATTTAAACTACATTTTTCCTGATGCAAAACGACATTTATTAATGGTTTTAGTTCTGGGACAGAGTACATCCAGTACTTTAACGATTCCCTTGAAAGCTGGGCTTTGTGATGCTGAAATTCCTACCGTAAAAAGCGCCCTCACCTTCTCCTGACCAATTCTTAGCATGGCATAGAGGAAAGTTATGAATGCACTGGTTGTTAACAGAGGGTGAAGGAATGTTGAGCCACCTCGCACTCTCCATCACCACTACCTCGCCATGCATCTGCGTGTTGGTAACAAAAGCCTCATCGGAGTCCATGATCACGCACACAGTTAGCTATTCATGAAACCTTACTCTGATTTGGTATTTGTAATGCGTGTTGAGGTGGTAAATAGGTAATCGCCTCTCGCGACCTAAACATTGCAACTGTTTGCGTCGGTGCCCAAATTAGTTTGAGCTTGCAGCCGCAAAACCGTCGGACATGTACTTATGCCTTTGAGAGCTCTCGGTGACTTTTCTGCAGACTATATGAACATTAAGTCTTCGCCATCGACCGTTTTTCACGTGCAAAATAACCAAAACTCGATCCTCGAACCCATTAGGTGCAAGTTTCTGCAGTTTCATAGAATCGCGTTTAAAATTGGCTAGTTTGGAACTCAATATCACGTTCCGCAAATCTAGTCTTTCAAAGGCATAATATGCATTACACAACAACCGCAGTTTACAGTTTCTATCACACGTGCCCAATAGCGATTTGAGCCTATCAAATGAGTTATTATTTTAATGTCATTCGGTGTGTTGTGGGTTAATATTTGATCGAGCTCACTGCTTAATGAGGTACATTTTCGTATTGACAAAGTCCCCTTGGAAGCTGTAAATGGGAGACGATTGGTCACGCACCACCTCACTTCATTCGTTCGATTCATTTTCGACGTATTATGCATTATGGAAATATATAAAATGCAGCATCGACATAAAAGAATTGAATCTGGCAGAACCGAGATTAACGAAATGTAATATCAATACGATTTATACGCGGATTAAGGCACTATGTTTCTTTTTAATGATATTTATAGAGCAGTCGACCAAACTGCTAACTGCATGAGCGTTTTCCCGACAAACAGGCGACAAGTTCTTCCAAAATGCAGATCCGGTTCCTACTCACGGCGATTGTATCATTTGACTTGTACAAATTTGAATGTCCTCTCCCTATGCATCTATGCTTCAACATTCGTGGTGCTCCGTTTGCCTATTACGATCGTAATAGTAGATTAGCAAGACTTCAACAACAATTTAGTTGAAATGCCAAATCCAAAAGGTGCCAAGCCTAGCTTCAAGTGAAATGAGGAAAGGTCATTGAAGTGACCTCAAAAGGAAGACTCTCAATGTCGATTGTCTGAATTCAACTCATCAAAGGCCTTCTGCGTCAGGCTCGCAACCTTTCCATCACAAAACCAAAGTTAATTTTCACAACAGTCAGTGTGTAGTGTTCTTTCTAGGCTGTGGAAGAGAGCATGAAAAAGTAACATAATGGGGTAGTATTGCATCTTCGTAGGGTGATAGCACTGAGGTTGTGAACAAGCACCAAATACAAACATTTATTTTTACCAACACCAGATCAACTGCCATCGTACGGCTCTGGAGTACGCGATGGCGCCTCAGAGACAGTCAGGCTGACGGTGCTGTGCCGCCGAGTGAAACCGCAAGCAGGTGGTGGCAGTGTCCAAGTAGCAATGTCTCTACCTAAAAAGGGCACAAAGTCACCACAAAAGTCGAATAAATATGTTTTTCCCCAACTTTTTAACTTATGACCAGAGTAGTAATACCATCATCAGTCCTGTTTTCAATATTTGTTCAAAAGCCAAGTTTGACGTTCTCCATGATACCCAACAAAGCACCTGAAAACAAGCACTTTTGCTTTCAAGAAGACATGCGAACGATTGCATAGACTAGAAAAGTGGCAAAGCTACGATCATCATTTGCCCCACTGACTCACTTTTTATAGATACGGTAATAACTCGGTACTTTCCCGGCAATGTTACTGTCCACAGCCGTCCTGCGTCTGACATTCTGCAGCATTGTTTTGTGCATTTCTACGGATTAAGAGTTGCCGCAAGCACTGCATTTAGCAACAGTAGTTAAGTCACTGCTGGAGGACTGCCTTTGCAGAGATCTGGCAAAGTCCTTACAGCCTTTGGTGGTAAAATAAAGCATTTGTTTGGCATTGCTTATCTCCGCCGTATACACTGCAATAAAGTGAATTCAAGCGCACTTCAGAGATCGCACTGATTGATGTGAAATTGCCTTTTTAAGCAACTCTGTACAATCATGGGTAATTAAAGGGTTCTTGCATGAATGTCCCACTTGACGAAACCACTTTAACATTTAGGACGCCCCAACAGTTCTTCACTCAGTTATGCACTAAAAAAACAAAATGTTAAAATGGAAAACTGAATCAAACGGTTAAATTAGCTACTGGAACGTTTTGATTGTGGATTCTGTTTTTTTTTGACATTTAGTCCCCTCCCTTGCAGCCAATGTACCTCTGGTACGTTCCTATTTTATCCCATTCCAATCGCAGAATTCCGATTTCTTCGGTAATGCAGCAGCCGAAAGAACCCTCGAACAAACTGCTGTGTTTCCGAAAACGTATAAAACAAGCCGATTTGAAGTGCAGCATTGCAATGGCCAAATGCAAGCTGAACTATCAGTCGATTTTCATCAAGGTTAAGATTTCCTTTTCACAAAACACTTCGAATGACAGTCTCTGATCTTCTTGTTGAATACGAAAAATATGTTCTGCTTCGATTAACGAAGCGAACAACAAGCATGAGTATGCTGTCAACTATCGATATAAATCCCTTTAGAAGAAACTCCCTAAACATACAGTGGCAAAGCAGAACATAAATACTCTGTTAGGGATCGTAAAATCCAAATTAATACAAACATCGAGAAGGAGGAGAAAGGCTCTCATCAAACGTAAAATCATTCGATAAGATTGTTTTGAGCAACAGTACTTCCTCGTGTTGTCTTCTCTTGGTGCTCGCGCCAAGGCGTCAAGACCTAACTTATGAAGGCTACTTGTACAAAACCATGCGCCGACAACAAAACGGTCCTTTTAAGGCCTCCAGTTGTTATGTTGTAACTGGCAGGGTCGAGGTAGGAAAGTCGAAAGTGGTCAGACATCCATTGATGCTTTCTAAATAATAAACAATGCGTTGATATCTATGCGCTATTATCTATCATTCTTAATGCTCTATTAAGAGTAAGGCGACTTCAGCCTAAATAACACTGGCTAATTTAATGGCTTAGTGCTATGAGAGGGTATTTCTCCAAAAGGTCTATTTTCAAAACCTCCGACATTTTGTCAGAATTAAACCATTTCAAGCATTTTTGATGTTACGAAGCCTACATTTGATGCAAGCTTAGGAGTCTGCACTATATGCTTATCTCAAATTTCCTAGACAAGTAGAGGCGAATTGGACATGCTCGCCAAAGTGACCGAAAGTCCCACCCCCTTCTACATCTCTCTACTCACCGGCCGGTCCGGCCGCCGTGCCCCACCTGCAATATCTTTCCTTTGTAAATAGACATCATTGACACTACGACCAGCACCTCTCCTTATATGCATTATGGATCTATAGTCCCTCATGCTATCGCAAATCAGCAGAATTGGACACTTGATCTCTACGAAGGTCAAATTTCAAACAGATCTGCCGTTCTCCGATAGCCCTTAATTAAAGGTTTTTGATAGATGTTAAACCTGCACAAGTCAAACACATTGTACAGGTGGATTAAAACGCTTCATTTTGTCTGATAAGTCCTGCCCACGGAAGTCTTGCAGCCCCCTTGTCACTGACCTCTGTGGTCCTTTCCTGCGATCTCATTAATTTTCAGCTTTATTTCTTGTTCGCTTCAGAAAACCACCTCTTCACTCCAGAAGTCACATTATGCATACAATCATCGGAACGCTCCACCTTTTAGTTACACTCGACCATGATTTTCTTTCATAAAATTTTGCTACATAAAAGGCGATTAAGCTACCACCTTGACGTGGTACTCAAATTCTATTAAATCGTTTAATATAAAAATAGCTGTCGCGGGAGAAGTTTTGCATTAGCTGCAGCAGAATTTTACCTACCAGTACCTTAAATGAGAAGTCTCAACACTGAGTTGTTATGAGGTTGCCAATGGATGAACTAAACCGTCCTTTGTTTTCCCATTGCATACCAGCGCTCCACTTAGCGTCACTGACCGCACTTCTCGACATGTGAAAAGAGTTTAGCACCGCATCATGGCACTCGAAGAAAGTGGAAGCAATCCTTGGTAGAAGCTTCTACAATTCATGCGGCAGAAAGACTTAGGCTCGTCGATGTTCCTGCCCCGTGGACCTGCTGGCGCCAGCCCAAGAACGCTGAACTATAATCGCTGACTGCACTGCGGTCATGGATCCACAGTCTGAAATCTACAATGCTAACGCAGTCACGCAGCACCCATGGCTCCAAGAACACATGAATTGATGCCCCTTCTTTCAACCTTCCACAAAATCCAACCACTGCTCACCACTTCCCATGTCAAAATGTTTGTCATCATCATCAATAACTGTTCTGACATCAAAAACAAACAGTTGTCAAATTGCAGAAACTGGGGACTGAGGACCATAAAACGAAAAGAAAATACAGCATTTACAAGTTGCGACAAAAATATGCACCGCTAATCTTTGAAATGGGACATGGGATCGTTGGGATTTTGCCGCAGTCTATAGTAAGCCTCCATTTCTTCTTGCGTGGGGACATGTCCGTCATCGGCAGACAAGGAATGATAAGGTCGTTTGCGTTCATCCAGTGCCAAAAGCTCATCAACTTCCTTCAAACGCTTCTTCTCCTTTTCCATTTCCATCTGAACACGCTTCTCTCGAGCGTCCTCTTCATCTCCTGACTCACTGGCGCAACTAACACTAGAGCTCGTACTACGCGAGACAGAACGGCTCCTCCTTCCCCGCTTTTTGTCCCGCTTAGATTTGTTCTTCTTTTTGTTCTTTCGCTTTTTTGCACGCCGTTCGCGACGCTCCTTAGACCGAGCAAAGTCGGTCTCCCGTTGGCGTGCTTGTTCTGCTAATTCTTCCTCATCATCCCTGTCAGAAGATTTCGAAGATTCAGCCCCTTGAACAGTACTGGAGAGAGGCAAAAGGGGTGCCAGCACACTAGAACCCGTCTGCGCCTCAGCAGGCGCCTCTGGAAAGTCTGTTGCAGAAGTAATCGAGTTGCTAAGATTGACCATGCCAGCGCCCGTCTTGCCTTTGTCTCCAGTGCAATAGGACTCTTTGATCAGAGAATGGCAGCATCGGTAACCCCACTGACCGGCATACCAATAGGAGCCCCAAACCGACTGAAAAAAACGACAAAAAATAAACCTTTGACTTTGTGTCAACTTCGACATTGTAGTATCAATGTGGTAGATCTCCGAATTGGTTTCCACTAGAAAAGCACACACGAAATCTACAGCTGGTCTGCTTCATTAGCAAACTATCGTGGCAAAAACATCCCGAGAGAACTTACTTTATGGTTTTTCACGAAAACATCCTCTTCATAACGAGACTTCACGGCAACCTTCTCAGAACCTTTAAGAACGCGACCAGTAGGCGTATACTCTGCATAGCTTTCCCACTGCCCCAAAAGCAATTCTCTTGGCGGAGCTTCCAAATGCTCACGGCCTCCATAACGTTCCAAGATCTCTTCACGCACCGCTGAATGAGCCTGTTCTTTGGCCATGGAGACTTTTTTTGCCAGTAGCTCAAGACGTGTCGGATCAGCTTGTAGGTGCAAATCAAGACCGAGCTTATTTTGCATTTCCCAAACAAATACCTGTCTCTGCAACATTGCAGGTGCATCACCGTCGTTTCGTATGAAGTTGTCACCAGCAAACGGAACTTCTGATTCCGATTTTCCTGAGTTCTCGAATGGATTCTCACGCATGGAGCGAGTCTTCGGATCATAGTAGGCACTATTAGGGTCAAGGTTGTAAAGGTATTTCGCCGTATCTTCACGAATGCGTAAATTTCGAATGGACTGACGCTGCTTGCTATCGAATTTCTGCCCCGGCATATCAAGTTCTTCCCCGTATCGATCATCATCACCTTCTTCGTCATCCAAATTGGGTCCTGAAGAAGATCCTACTTCCTACAAAACAAAAACCCAACTACATCAAATCATCTAAAAAAACATTCAGAGCGGAAGTATCTAGAGTATACTAACCTGACCCTCACTTTTCGAGGCCGCAGCAGCTAGTTTCTCTTCTATTTTTTTGGCTTTTACAATCTTTCGTGCTTCTTCAAAACGCTGAAATTCGGCGATAAAACGCTGATGTTCACGTGGGTCATAACCATTCCATCTGTCACGTTTGGCGTCGTACCCCAGTTTTATATCTTCTTGTTCAATGTCATCAGGAGCAATATCCAACCCCGTGTATTTGGCACCAACTTTTCTTGGGCGCTCTAAGCAATTCTTTCGGTCGTGAGTAGCAGCTCCACAATTTTCACAGGCCCCGTCACGATAACTCTTCGCCCGTGGGGCGCCAAGAGGTACACCCCTCTTGTACCACTTATTCAGCGCTGCAGAACCTTTGTCTGTGCCCGAAAGAGCTTCCCTCTTCTCTTCATCCTGCATGCGCTGATGCTTCAAAGTGGGCTTTAGCGACCCATAATACCAGGGCGCTTGCATTATGTATTGGGGAATGTGAGGATTTATGTCACGCCCCTCTTCATCCTTCATGGCGGGCATAACGGCCAATTTACGAGCTTCCTCTATTTCTTTCATTTTCTTGAAATCCTCTTTCGTTTTCTTCTTGCCATCTTCAGATTCCTGATCACCAAATTTACGCAAAACAGATGGTGGAAAATTAGGAACAAAGGACATGTGGTGGCGGAAATTGAGGGTTACCGAACTATATGTCAAACAGGTCCTTGAAAAACTCCAATAATTTAGCAGGACAGTTCAGTGTTGTGTGTCAGTAAACGGCTGGATCACACACTTAAGAAGCGAATGCACTTAAGTTGTATGCAAGTGAGTCGAGTTGACGCGATAGTTCAATTGGGGTTGGGTGATAATATCTGTACCCATAAAATCATCGACATCATTTAGAACATGACCAACGCCCAAGGCAATCGTCATTAAAATCAAACAAAACTTAGCATATTTTTTCAAATTATGCATTTAGGATTTTAACATTTAGAAGTGGTAAATAGAAAATTGTCTTTTTGGCCTATGCGATCGAGCTGTAACGTCCCAAGACCCGCCAGAGGAAAGAAGGCACCAAGTTTAGCCAAGCACACGTATTCCCAGAGAAGAAGACTACAAAATGAGGCCATAGCGTGCTATGACAAAAAGGGGTATGGTGGTAACGACCAGATTAAATTGGCTCTCTCCCTTTTTAGGAGACGTCCTCGGCACTCTCCTTAATAAACCTTATGTGCTAACCATCAAACCACGCTTTGCACTACGATTAAAAGCTAATAAACCGAATACTATAGTCATTGGTGAAATGCCTTTTTTTGTGACTACCTGACGTATGGCGGTCGCTTTAGGATTTGTCTGGCCCATGTACACGTGGACTTGCCTTCGGGCTATGTCCAGGACCATTTGTTCTGTCCTCTTTGGAACACATGTATTCGGTTTCACCTACAGCCCTCTTCCACTCGGTGGGAAGTCTCGAGACGCTACAACCGGTTACCATTACACTGAGAAACTTCAATTAGTGCCCTCAACAGCTTCAGCTGGACCTGGAGCTGCATTTAGTCTGAGAACAGGAACCGTGGTAAAGAATTTCTGTTGCCCATCAACAATGCTTACAGCTAGACACAGGAACACTAGTCTTATACAAATGGCCAGTGAGGATGGAAAGGGATTCGCCCTAGTATCATTTGGACATCTATACTCGAGCACAGTAAGCAGAAATCCGATTAGAAGGATTTCCATATAGTCGATGGTAGTGTCGAATCAGTCATTAGTCACTTTTTTGGAACGCGTAGGCAAGATAAAGCTCGACACAAGCATCATTCACAGCTCTTCTTCTGTGAGGAATTCAGAAGACAACCACTCGATGTAAAAACACTTTCTCTGTACCGTAGATACAAGTCGCACCAATGTATGCTAGAGAAGAGGCGTCGAAAAATGTCAAGCTCGTTTTCCATTGCCATTACTGTAGCGTCTTTACATCTCTTTAGGCAAAAAAAGGAATCACGGCATGAAGAATGCATGCATTTCAAGAGAATACGAAGGATAGAGAACACACTTGCAAGGACCAGACAAATAAATAGTAAGAACTAGGTATCATGTAATTACATTGACAAATTACTCAAAGATCTGCGAGTATTTGAACAAAACAACAGGTGTTACTTATGACTTTTCCATCAAGGATAAAGTAATACTGCTCCTTACTAGGTGGAGAGATCCGCTTTGACTTTGCTCGAGGGCCGTCGTACGCAGTTTAGAAAAAGTTTCAAATCTCAGTGTCTGATAGTTCTACAAGTAGCCGAATAAGCGATGCATTGCAGCCGCCCGGCTCGGGCCATGCCATAGTGCTAATTTTACCCTTCCTGCTTACGCACAGACAGCCGATTTTCGTATTTTATACTACCTTATGAAAAGTCTCTTAAAACTTCACTGGCGGCAGCAAAGGCAAGCTCGACTTTGGATCATTATTTGCTATGAACTGATGCGGTGCGGCTGATGTGCACGTGCTTTGAGAAGGTAAATATCTAACCCATCGCATTAAAAGACGCCTGCCTTTTGCAATCTATCCTATTTCCATTTAAAAGGTTTAATGACCAAAGCACCATCTCCGTTCGTCTAATGCTTTACTTTTTTGGATTTGCCTACCTAACCCACGCATAGATACCGGCAACAGTGACTTCTCCGATTTTCTATTGACATGAAGCTATGTTTGTGGACAAAGACTGATCGAAAATCAAACCTTAGGGCTATATGAGAGCTAACAAATTTTCCCTCTCTGGCTCCCATTATCAGACCGATTCAAAGTCTATGTACAGCTGAAAAGGATGAAGTACAATCCCTCGGCCTTATATGAGATGATGTATAACTCGATTAGCTTGTGTGTTTTCTTGCAGCATCAGGTGCTTTGATTTATGGCAGCTGATGAGAAGGATGCATGGTAGGAAGCGCCGTGGCCACTGCTCACAAAAGACGGTAAATGCAACACTTTATTTTGCCGGTTCTCTATATAGGTGGCAGCATTCTGGCGGACTGTTAGACTCCCTTCTTCCTTTGTTATTTTAGCCCGAGTGTCTAGTCAGGTTTCGTGGATTCCATAGAAAATTAAGAAGTTACGAGATGTCGTTTGCTTCACTGATCACAGCCACTTTAAATGCATTTATTTAATCAAATATCAAGTCTTGTCTTAGTCTTTATTCTTGTATACTCTTTCAAATGTGTATCATTTTTCCAGTCTCTCATTTAAATTGTTTCCAGAACGTGTTTCGGTTTGCAATGCTGACCTCGGGTATCGAAATATAGGAGTGTGTGCCCTTTGCGTAAGAGTAATTTACATAAGCTTAAGAGAAACCTAAATTGTACAGTAAAACATAAGACTAAAGTCTCTTAAACAGGTTTTTATAATCCACCTTCAAACTATTTCATGCATGCCAATTTTATTATTATTAACCGTATCTATTACTTTGTTACAAAAAATATTGGCTTTTTAATTAGAATGTTAAGCACTAATGCTTTTTATTTCCGAAGGTCACTAGTCTTTTGTGGTTAAGCGGCCTAATCCAAGGGGTGTTCCTACGGGGTTTTGCAGAATGGTTGAGAATCGATGCTTCTATTGTTTGAAACGATTCCACCATTTGTTCATTGACTGTTTTGATTGCAGAGGTGTAAAACTTTGTCTTTTTGTGAGTTTGCATTTTCAACATGGTAATAATTTAGTGCTTTTCTTGCGGAGTCGAAGCTGGTCATCACAAACGTTCTCATCGCTATAACATTAAAGTACTGTCTTTTCTCACCAGAAGTATTGTCTAAGTTCACCCAAGTAACTAATGGTGGTGTGTGCATTATAAATGGATGGTCAGATGCTGAGGAACTTGAGTTGCTGTACGCAATAGAGCAATATGGATTAGGGAATTGGTAGGTTTTTGTTTGGCTTGTTTCACCAGCTAAGGGAAGACATTTCAGACAAGTGCTCTCATCATGGCCCTCAAGACTGCTATGAACATTATGCGAATTTCTATTTGCGAGGTCCTCTAGCTGCTACGGGGTGTGGGCATGTGTCTCAACTAAACTCGGTCAACGATCATACATCTTCTTCGCCAGTGGTCAGTCGAGAGAAGCCTGTACTATTAGAACCTGTAGAGCAGCAGCTTTTGGGATATATGGTACTGAGAGATGATTTTGAAAGGGATTACGACAACGATGCTGAGAGTCTGCTTACGAGGTTAAGTGTGCGTTCGGACTGCGATGATCTAGAGGACGGTAGGTTGTTTTTGACGTTTGTTGTTTTTGACTATGTTCCTTTTTAGCTTTGCATGTGGCACATGTTAACATCTACACTCAGCGCCTTCAGGAGCGACAAAAACGCAAAGAAATCGGCAGATCACATGGACTCATATATCAGTTGTCAGCGTATTTGACTTACAAAACGCCTAAGCGACGGCAACAAAAAGTTGATTCTAGAACTTCACTTTTACCCTTGGGCCATCGTCATAAACTTGCTCCGATTCCTCGAACGACCAGGAAGAAGCTCACACCTCAGTCGAGTCCCACCTCTCCACCAGCCGGAAGTTGGTTGGCTGCGCCTTTCGCACTCCAATCCTCCGGTCCTACTCGAGGGATTCCTCTAGTCGTTCCCGGCGTTATTTCGCTGCCCCAAGAACATTACTGTAAATCATCGGATTTGGAAGATTATGACCCTTTGTAAGTTGAAGTCGTACTTTCGGCTATATGTTGTTTCCTCACACGGACTTGCCTTAGGTTTTTATGCTCAGTAAATCCATTTCACCGGTTTTTATTTGCTCTAGCATTGCATCCAACAATGACTATCTGAATTCCAGTTTTCTTACCCGGATGAATGATTTTGTCGAATAGCTTTTGACAGTGTTTTTTAGTTTCGGCTATAGTTTGCACTCAATGAATTTTCTCAAGTATTTGTCCACTCGACTTGTTGGCTTTTAGCAGCGTTAACTGCGATTTCAAATTTCTCTCCTCTTGCATGCAGTAACACTTTTTTAATTGTAGTAATATTAATGAGAAACTCAAACCATTCCTTCGGTACTTCACACCTACACAGGCGAACGAGTTTCTGAGAAACTTGCACCGTAAGTTAAGAGTTTCTCTTACCCTCTAACATCTGCTTCAGGTGAGGAGGTTTTGAAGCATGAAATCAGATACCTTTTCAATGTTCTTCAAAAAAGTGGCCACAGAACGTCAAGTGAGTTGAGTGCCTGTCATGAAGCTATTTCTTTTTGCGTTCAAGACTCGGTCATATGGCGAAAATTATGCAAAAACAATCCAACCTTGTATCTTTCTCTTATTATCACTCGATCCTATTATCCCATAGCAATATATTTTTAAATTATTATGCAGACTCGTCTCGGATCACCTCTCCCCTTAAAGCACTATCGGAATTACGAAGCCAGGTCTACGTTCCAGCACCATTGAATACCGAGCCGATGCACCCGCTGCTCTCCGGGCTCCCTGGTTTTGGTAGTACCGCTCCACTCTCACCTCGGCGATCTATCACAGCTGTTTTGCGCTCTTCTACAGCAGCTGCTGCGGCAGCTGCCGCTGCAATTGCTCACCGTAATGCACAGAGGCGGCGTCAACGTCGAAGACACACCAATTCAAAGCCTTGGTATGCTCGCACCCACCGACATCGAAAACAATAGCATTTACGAATCACTTGTTCAATTCTCGTACCTGTTCTCATAACCAATTCATTGCTGGGGTTACATGTTCTCACTATTCTGCACAAACTGCACGCATTTTAACTGTATTTATCATTTCAATGTAAATCCTGTTAGTAAAGGTAGAAACAAATTCTAAGAAGTCTTTCCTTCCCCGCATTTAGGAGTGTGCATTTTGTAAGTCTTTTTTCGTTTTTGTTGAAGTTTTCTGTTTCTTATAAAGATTTTTTGGTTTGTTGGTCACTTGATGAATTGCGTATTCAGTGATAATATTTTGAGTTAAGCGCGTCGAGGTTTCTCATCCAACTGTAGCGTGTGCTGTAGTAAGTTTTGCCTCTACGCTTTACTCACTAGCTTGTAACCGAAATATCCACGCGCATCAACATTTTGCTGATTGGTTGTATTGTATGTTGCCTTTTTATTTTCGATTTTACGTTATCCATGAAATCGGGCAAGATTGATAAGTAACCGTTTTTGGGACTCGATTTTTTCGACGCTCCATTTTCTCACTCAACTGATGTCACTGTTGCTTTCGTCTAACAAGTTCTTGACGATAACGGGATGAAACGTAATGAACTCATCCAAGCTAGCGTTATCCTCTTTGTTATATGTGACTGTTAATGTATTGAAGCTCTTACAATTATCTTTGAAGCACTGGACTGGATTTTCATAGCTGAAATAGGGTACTACGGTGACCAACTTCGCACAGATCACCACTCCTAAGTCTTGATTGCAGAAATTGGTATTTTTCGATCGGCCAAATTTCAACATATGTGAGCAAATCTCAAAGGACAACTGCAAACGTTCTTATCATACGAGAGTGCGTGTGGTCGTCGGTATTCTTGTACTTACTTCTATCTCGGTGGAAAGAAACTACCTTAGTTTTTGTTGCTTGGGTGACTAGTTGTGGTGAAAGCTGACACTTCCCAGAACTGACACCTTCTTTTAGAACGGCTTCAACAATCTTTTAACGGCTTGGGGTGTTGTGGGTCCAGGGCTTGAGCCTTGTTTGCTAGGGTTCGATCTCAAGGCGACAGAGGAATGAACGTGTATTTGCATAATACGAGATTAATTGCGACTCTTGTGCCATAATACTGGGATCAATGAGTTGGCTTCGGGTGGGCGATCGCGTCGACGACGTTTGTCGTTCGGTTATCTAATGTGGTGCATGTATACCTGCCAAAACTTCAGGAACTCCAGGATCTTGTGATAATTTGTGAAACCAAAATAATTTGTGTGCTATAGGATAAAACGCTTGAGATGAGTGTGTGTGCTGAGTCTAGGTGACTTCTTACGGGAGTCCGTCAGATGGGAATTCTCTTCTAAAACCTAATAACCTTACCGAAAAGAAAAGTTTTGATTGGTGTTGTGCTCCTGTATTCTAAAATAATTTGTTTGATCTTTCGTATCATTGATTTAGGGTACACAGGATAGCACAACTTTGTTTCAATATGCTTGAGTTGTTCCACGTATTACGAAACTGCTAAAATGATGTCTTCGGAGGATAGAGAGATTTTATATCCTTTAGTGATAAAGTAAGCAATCACTCTGGCTGTTTTATTTTCTTCAGCCAACTGTTGCATGACGGTTATGGAGTATTTGCTTTAAGTCTGAAAAAGATACTGATTCCGAACTGTGAAACCGTTGCTTCAAACAAGTTGCTAAAGCTTGTTAAGCTTGGTCTTGCTGTGTCAAAGTGTACATTTTCGCTCTTTATTTACCAATTTTTAGACTTGGAGGACTCGGATTTGAGTAAAGACTTTACCCATATTGCTCATGCGTTTCAACCAAGTCATCACAATAACTGTAAATTCTCTTCGTGAATTTTAAGTGTGGATATGTCTTCGATCGTATTTTATTGTGATCAACCACTGGTGCTATCTTTTAGCCTCATTTTTCTCGAACTCCTCTTCATCTTCTAATAATCAGTCGATTGACCAGTCGCCTCAACAGTCGCTTCAACAGAATGGATCACAGGGTGCGCAATTTACCCTTGGGGTAAATCAGTCCCTAAAGTTGGAGCCTGGCGACCATGCTTTTAATTCCCTTCATCTGCCTCTTGGAGCCTACCAAAGGCAATGGGCTCAGGTGTGGCACCGGATGGGTTTCACTTGCTTAAATAGTTGGTCGATTGCTTTAGTACTCCGTTAACGTTTATGCATTGTGAGGTAGGCTTTACCGCACCCTCTTTGCTGTCCAATGCTGGGAAGATATCTAAATTTCTCAATTTTTCTTCAACATTTGGTGCTTTAGTAAAATCCTCATTTTTCCGTTGATTTCTAGATGGCAAACAGAAATACTATTAACTTAGATGGCGAAATTCATGAACTTCCGGGAGATGGAAGTAAGGCTCTTCATGGGCATGCTCTCCGCACCTTCGGCATTGCTTCTTCTGCAGGCTTAGTCCTTGTTTGCTTTTAGGCCCGAACAAGCTTTTCGAGTGCTCCTTGTGCGGTAAAGTTTTCAATCGAAGGGACAAAGTCAAGCGTCATCTTAGCGAGCTTCATCACGGTTTGTATATATTTTATTTGGCGTGTTTTGTGGCAGTGTTTGCTACGTTATCAATTGTGTCGTGGGATGGTCGGCTATTTTCGCTAGTTTACATCAAGTTCTACACCATTATTCACATCCGCAGGTCTCATTCTGTTGACTTATCTACTTAAGCTTTAATTCATGAATCTCAAGATTGTATTCATGTAAGACTGTTATTCAGTGAATCGTGGCTGTTTTAGTCCCATGTCCTGTTTTCGCAACCTAGCTGTTTGTTCATTATTTATTCCTAGCTCTTATAATTTTGATCAAAATAATTTATTTGCATGTCTAGGTATAAAAAGGCACCAATGCGTCACTTGTTCTCGATTGTTTTCACGGAATGACAAACTTGTTCGTCACATCATGACAGTTCATCAGGGTTAGTTTGTGTTTCGTTCATTTATTACATGCCTCGAGTTCCCTCTGGGAATCTCATAACTTGGGTGTTTTTGCCGCCATCCTGATATAAAATTATGCTCCATTATCAGCTCATCCCATGTATCGCCTTAACTTTCTTTCTTCAGCGTGAACTCACACTGAGGTTTTGTGGTTCGTCTTTGTAATGGGAATTGGCTCGCTTTTAGCATACAGACAGTGATTTTCGGGCATACTTTTACTGGAGATTGCTAGTATCGATGCCAGTTGGTATGCCACTTAGCGTGCTGTAAGTGGTTTAGCTTCATGAGATCTGTTGTTTCTGGAGCGTTGTAGGTCATTAATCTATTTGTATGTCATCATTGATTGATTTTAAGGGAAGCGTCGGATCTTTCAACTGAGGTTCCGATTCGAATGCATCCCTTTCGTTTAACTTTAAATGATGGAAATAGTCGTTTCGATACGTTTTATAAACTTTCAGGTTAAGCCTACTTTAGCACTTATTCTTATACCATGCGTTTATCAGCTTTTTTGCGTCAAGCATTCACGAAGCATTGCCAGTTAAGGTGTCTAAATTTCCTTACCCCGACTTTGAAACCCATCAATACATATTTTCAATTTTGGTCGAGTAACTTAGGTCCTTTCAGTGGTTGGTGGTACGACACCCGAACGACTGGTAAATGCGGGTCAAGCAATGTTTTGTGTCGGTCGATCGAACCATGCGGGCAGAGGTTGTCCCATCACTCAAATGGGGACGTGACAGCAGATTTACGCATGAAGTCATTGCTCCAAATGCATTGATTTTATAGCATTTGGATAACTCATGGTGCCCTAGTCAAGTGTCTGCTTTGCAAGGGATTTTTCTGTGCTGGGAGTATATTTTCGAGGCAATGTATGGATTCGTATAGGCGTTCAACCGATTCAAGACAGCTTTGATCTTTTAATTATGTCGGTCCTTATGGGAGCTCTTGTATGCGTTATTCAACTTTGAATTTGTTTTCGTTTCTGACCTTACCGCAGATGACCTCATGCTCCCTCCTAGTCTCATGTCTTGGATTTCAGGAATCAAAGCATTCGGTTGTTTGCATTGCCCGAGACGCTTTAGTCGGCGATGGGAGTATCAGCGCCACATGCAAACCACGCATCCAAGTAAGTGGACGTTCATTTTTTGCCCGTCCAGTTTGTGCTCATGCTACTTCCAGTCTCGTGCCTTAATTTTAAGCGTGCATCTTTGTTGAGCTTAGTTTCAGGGCCACTTTGGTCCACTTAGGTTTTTTAATTGACAGTAAGTCTGTCCTCGAATTTGAGTACGTTCCCCATTCCTTTGTGATTGCGACGGTGTGAGCTGAGTCACCATTACTTAGTCATAAAGCAGACAATAACGAGAACCATCTATCGGTTTACTCTTTCATTCCTCATGTCTTTTAATGCGTATTGTATGCCATCTATTTGATACGGTTTTGGTTTGCATTATTCTCCGTTTTCACCCGCTCCAGGTGGGGAGCGTGAGCTGTGAACATCAATATGTAGCATTTTTCTCTCGCACTGTAGTTAGTTAATGCTCATATGTGATGTTACTTTCTGTGGTTCAGTTTTGATACGTCCTAGTAAGTGGTGCTTTGATAAATTTTAAATGTTTTAGGTCTTGGTAATTCATACTTGAAAGAGTAGGAATGAGGGATTTTTGTGTGCTCCCTTTTTCCATCTTTGGCTGCTGAAATGTCCTCAGTATTTTTGTTTTTCGTCCAGTATCTCGATCGATGACTTGGCCACACTCTCTTCACTCTTGCGGCACCCTTACTGCCTCACTCCCTCTTTTCTTGTTTTATAAATAGAAATATGGATAAACTAAGATGTCTTAGTTCATCAGCCTTACCTCTGCCAGGTTGGCACCTTTGCTAATTACTCTTATTTTCGACTACTGATAATCTAATCTTGAAGCTTTATTTATGTAAATACAATTGGGCTTCAGAAGAACAGGTTTTCTTAAGGAATTCAATGATACAAGTATTGTAAGTTCTTCCAAGAGGATTGTGCCGTGTGTGATGGGAACGAAACATAGTAACATTGTAATTTGTGGCATTTTACATTTTTTAAAGCCTTGCAAGGTCGCCTTCCTTTATTTACTGCGTCGCCACCACAATCGAAGTCAGCGAGCCAGCAGCAGTCTGCATCGCAGCAGGTCTCCCCTGTCACAGTAGTGAATACTACGCCTGTGTCTTCGTCGTCGTCGCCAACAACACCAGCTCAGGTTAGCGTCGCTTCTCCTCCTGCCACTGTCACTGCTTCCACGACTGCTGCCGTCACCTCCTCGAGCTCCAGCCGTGGCATGTTTCCAATCTTTCCAGTTTTCACGAGTATGCTATGTTCTCTTTTCAAATTCTCTCCCCTTTTTGTTGTTTTTGTTTGATCTAACTTTTCTCTATTCAAGGTCCAAGCGCAACTCCGTGGCCCTCCAGTACCTCTTCGACTGCCAATCCGACTGGAACTACCGCTTCGACCAAGTCAGCAGTCGCCGACCCGGCCACGGCTACTGTCACCGCCACCTCTGTGGAGTCATCCACACCACCCTCTACTGCTCCTTCATCCACCTCCAACGCCCACGGCATTTTCCCAATGTTCCCTGTCTTCAGTCAAACTCGTGAGTCTTCTCTCACTTCTATGATGGTTTAATCGTTAGTGTTGAGATTTCTTGCCCCTATGCTTCCAATTTCAACCTTTTGTATTGATTTCAAACTTTTCTCACTGGAATCATCTGTGATATTCACTTGATATTCTTGATTCAGTTGTTGGATTTCAGATTAGGTAAACTCATTTGAAGGCGCATTATTTTTATCTTCTTATCCTTCGCTATCGATTATGTCATAGAGACCATGGTGAACCTGAATTTCATATTATCTATCTGTTGTGGTCAATTTATTTGCAGAAACGTCATCTTCGACTTCGTGCTCTTTGGCAGTCGCTCCTTTTGCAGCTTCAAATAATGCCGTGTTTCCCACTCCTGCACCTACCTTCACTCCAGGCAAGTGAAATAGCTTCTACTTATTGAAATAAGTAGGCTGAAATGCTTGCTTTTATGTCGATTGCTTCTGCAGCAACTGCACCTTATCACAGTGGTTACACTTCAATGAATACTCCGACAACCAATGCACCAAGCCAATCAACTTGCAGCGAATCAACATCTCTCACTCGGATGTTGTTGTAAAGCCTACTCACTCCCAATTTTGTACATTAACTTGTCTATTTTGGCAGTATTTAACTCCTCGCGCCTTTTTGAATACCGGTGTGTTTATAATTGTTGTACGCGTGTGCATTTAAGGTTAATGTGCATTTACCGGCACCCGTTCTTCTGTACATACCAAACTGTCATTAAGATTGTGTTGGTTCGATGTCCTGCTTTTTGTTTTGAAGCGTTTCTCATATCCTTTGGATTGGCGGAGCTGATTTTAGTGCTGAGTCGCAACTGTAGTTATATCAATAAGTGTGGAAGTCCCAAGTTACCAATAACTTCTTATTTGAGCAGAGCTGGATGTTAGTTGTTTCTTCAGCTTTTTGGTTTGGCAGCATCTAGTAAAGAATCGCAAGGAATTATTACTATGGTCAAATTAGATGATTATGAACCAGATTCATAGCCCTCATTCGGTGTGTTTCAAGCGAAATCGGTAGGTGCCCTCGAAGAGGACTTCCCTAACCTCCATAGCACTCATCCACCTTGTTGAAATCAATGTGAGTGAGCATTGATGTGGGTTGTCTCATGGCAGAAGTAGTAGGGAGGACACCTGCAATTCCGGTCGCTTCGCTAATTCCGGATAATCACTGCGATTAAATTCCATCAGATGCCAAATTATTGAGTCGTACGCACTTCACAGCATCAGTATATGTTTGTGGATCCTTCCAGGTAGCTAATCTGGTACTCAATTTGCAATTTCCTCTCAAGAGGTTTCCAACCTGCCAGTTCTCGAACTTCACGCTGTTTTTAAATGAACTTTAGTCGCCTCATGTTCTCAGCTCTCTTTTTAGCTCTGAGCATGTACTTTGAAAGGCAAAAAGCATACACTGTTTTTGAATCGTGCATTCCACCTTAATTACATAAGAATTGGATAAAGCGTTGCAACGATGAACACAACAAGTTGTGGGCTGTTGATCTCTGCATCACTTAAAGTGATCCTTAAAATAAATAAATGAATGCAGAATTTATATGTCAGAAATCTAACGCAAACTTGATGAGATTGAAGTCGAAATCTAATTTAAAGTTCGACTATGTTTCACGTGTTTCTACGTTGAGGGTCTGTAACTTTGTAGTTTGAAGAATTTGGCAAAGATTTTTGAAGCTATTCAAAAGCTGCTGATCATTCAATCTGCGGATGGCTTACGGATGCTAAGGAACAGGAAATACTTGTTGGATGATAAGCAAAGTCTTTGGAAAGCAACCCTAAAGCACCATAGGGCCTGGCCTGAGACTCCATGTGGAATTTATTGGATGTCTAAGCCTTATCTACAAATAGGTCTCTCAGTGTCTAGAGTAAAAGCGTAATTGATTAATACGTGAGTTCAGGGAACACTTTTGCGAGCAGTGATGCCAGTAGAAGGTCAGTCGAAGTGGCTTTGTAGTGGAGAACGGGTAAGGTAGCACATTTAAGACGTTTCCATACCCACACAGCACTAGAAATAGAATTGGGCTTGAAAGTCGACGCAGACTTTTGCAGAGGCGGACACCGAGGGAAATAAAAGTATGCATCAAGATCAAGAATAACGATTTGCTAACCACTATTGGGAAGGTTTTATGCACAAAGTTTATGGTTGTGCTGCTTATGCTCCGATTTGATTAGGCTAATATCCCGGCATAGATGTCAAGTGAGGCGAGAGCGGTGGTGGTACCATGAGCAGGGAAAGAAATGCTGGGGCTAGGGCCAATTATAGTAGCCCATTTACACGGTCACCAACTCACAGCATATACAATACAAGTTGTAGACCCAAGCATATTAGCCAAGTGGAAAAGCTAAAGCTTGTAGCAAGTACTTGGCGTACTTAAATTATCTTCTGCATTTCATATGCAGATAATGGGTTCAAACATGGGAGTGGCTGCATGCAGTCATGAGTGGCTAACACGTCCGCCAGTACATGCGTGCGTGTCGTCCCCTTCCCACAATCGAGCCGCATGTGACCCTCTCGCCAGTGAGATTGGGCACTCCATCAGCTCCACAAGCCGCACCCTAAGAAATACATCTTTTATAGATAACAATGGT